GTGAGGCTCCCTGTAGTACAGTGATGGTCTGTTCATACTGCGGACAGGGTGGATTATTCATTTAGTCGATTGTTACATTGGTAACTGAAGCTGGAAAGCCTGAGACCTGTGCACCTTGGCTACCAGGCTCCATTGATAGGTATTTTGGTTTTTGGTTTTTTTTTTTGGCTGTTTGCTCTTTCTAATTTGGTAGTGGGAGGGTTTGGGGCATAGCTGATATCATTTCTATTAAACACACTCCTGCGCATTCCCTGTAGCCCCTTGTACAGTAACTAACTTGGACTGTTGGTGTATTAAGCCTTTGTTTACACTTAGTAATTGTGTTTTCCTGCTGGTGAAAAACTATAGCATAAATTATCCAACCAGAAAACCCTGGGAATCACGTTAATATTATTCCAAGTCCAGATGATTTTGGTTGTTTGATCAAAGTTTCTAACTTGGAATTGCAAAGGACTTTTGTAAAGAAATAGCTGAAAGGTACGAAAGTAAGTTATGACCCCATGGTGGAGAGTGCTAGGGTTTTATTTTTGTAAGGCGGGTCTTGTTTATTTAACTTTATTTGGTCTTCTGCAGAGCCTTGAATAATGAATATCTGCTTACTTGATTTTTTTTATGTTTGGAGGTGGATTAAAAAACAGAGTAACTTGTTTTGCTTGTAACAGGAGACTAGGACTCCATTCACTCCTCAGCACGGTAAGCAAAGTTCCAGTTTTTTGCTCTTGTACGTAGTCCGCCTTTGTTCTAGGCGCACAGCCCACGGGTCTGGTAGCAGGCTGGTGAGTGGCACGGGTAGTACACGGCAGGGAAAGGTTGCGCTGGGTGAGGGTGCTAGAGGAGCAACAAGCAAGCCAAAGGATGGGGCACAAAGGGTCATAATTCAAAGTGATACAAGATAAGGATTAATCCAAATGTTTCTCTAGTTTTGATTTTCAGAGCAGACCTATTCTCACCTAGTCATGGGTGTAATGGCATCTAATGTTGGGTTTTATCTGGGGTAACGCTTGACTGCGGAGTGCCTTTTACAATAGTAGATGGACCTGGAAGCAGGGAGGAGAACCCACACAACTAGCTTACCGTTTTTGGGGTTGGTTTTTTTTTTTATGTAAAATTTTAGATTTCTAAAATGGGGAAATGTTTTTGACTACTTACGTGGTAATATAACTGCTAGTTTTAAGTAAACTGGGAAACTTTTAACTTATGTCTGACAGTTGTCCTGTGTTAATGTGTAGAAGACTTATCCTTCCATATACTGTTGCTGTAGCTGCTGTATTTTAGACCAAAACTGATCATGACTTAATGGTAATACTGAAAGGTTGTAAACGTCCCGCTGCAGTTTGTAGCCACTGTGGGTATAACTTTTCAGATGTGTATATTGGTAACAAGTCAGTTTGGAAAGTCTATAAGCTACAATAAATTTCTGGTTCTAAAGGTTGTTTGCATTTATTTCTTACTGAATGGAACAAAGTTGAATCAAGTTGTATTACCTGTGTGTTAATTTGCCTCTGTCGGTGGCACAGAAGAGTTCTGGTTTTGTTGATCTCTCAAGCATAGAAAGACTTCAGCGGCATGTGTGTACAATTTATCAATCTTCCTTTTTATTTTTTGACTTACAAAACATGTACCTAAAGCAACTGAAAAGTTAAACATGTAAACATTCTTTTCTTACAGAACCATGGTTTGGCTTAAAAAAATACTTCTTTTTTCAAAGGCAACAGAATAAGCACAATCAGTTTGTACAGTTAAAAAAAAAAAATCACAGAAGCATCTCTGAATAAATAGAAAGGTTGTATCATTTTGAGCATGTTTATAAAATCAGAAGCTACTTATTTATAGTGAAATATAGTATTTTTGAAAGTGATTTAAGTTTCAGTCTTCAGTACAGTTCAACTTGCTGAAAACTATCAGGTGAGCTGCTGCTTTGTAAATTTGGAGACAGAGGCTCTCCGCTGACCCCATACAGCCATCAGGGTTTCACTCAGGATGCTATCCCAGTGGTGTGCAAGGAAGAAGGTCCACTTGATGCATTTATTTTAATTTTTTTTTTAATACTTCTTGTAGGTAAGTAAATTTTCTAGACTAAGTAGCTTCTCTGTAAAACTGTGCTAGGTTGAGAAACACCTTTGGAATTGCTCAGTTCTTGCAGTTTACGCTGATACAATTTTGTTTTATTGCACTTCTAAAATTGAAGGACAGATGACATGAGCCACTGCTGCTTTGTACTTTTGCTAAACTATATTAGGGCCTGAGTTTTCTGGAAACACTAGCAAAACAACGGCTGAAGGTGTGAACTGCTGCGCGTCTGTAAACCAGGTACCTGAGAGTGACTAAGGAATACGACTAGGTAAGACTGCCTTGCTGCAGCAGGACAGGCAGGATCCTGGACTACCAGTTTGTGGCAATGCAAGAGACTTGCTTTTACGTTTACAGAATTGTAGGATGTTGCTTCCCTTCCACAAGAATGTACAAAGCACTGATGAGGTGGTTGTGGTTTCAGTGCATCTCAGCTTGCACATAAGTCTGCTATTTTTGCATACTTTTTGCTCCACAAATTAGTTTAATAAGGAAAGAAATAATAGCACTATTTATCTGTTCTCTAAAATGGAGCAGGGGAGGGAGCACAAAGAAGTCATAAATATCTGCCTCTCCCAACGGAGGGAGCAGGGATTTAGATGGGTGCAGTAGTCTCTTCTCGCTGTCTGATTAGCATGCAGAGCTCTACATCCTGCAGTATTTTCTTCTAATACCAAACCAACTGTTAAGAGCTTGAGTGTGGGCTTCTGTTTCCCATTATGCATTTCCTATTTGGTATTTCAGGAGGATCCCTGCCAACCTGATGTTATTCCATGATTGCTAACAGCTGCTCTGTGAGAGGCAACCTGGTTGATATTAGTATCTGTAAAACAGTATAGAATAGACTTCATGGGATAACATCTTTTATGAAAAGAAACAGTAAGTACTTTAAATCAGTATACAAATTAGCAATGGCATAACACTAAATCATCATCTGCTATGTAAAGATAATGAGGGAAGGGTTTATTACAGGTTTTTCATATTCCATTCACTGACCAAACCTAGTATTGCCTACTACTATTCATTTCTACTTGGGGTAGAAATTACTTTTTACAGGCAGTGTTAACTTCGTTCTTCATCATCTGCACAGCTATTATGTTTGAACTTGTCCTCTTAAAAAAAAAAAAAAAAAAAAAAAAGGGGGACTCAACCAGCCAGTATAGGGCAGCATTCTTTTAATGTTCAGGGGTACCTGATTTTAAAGTACTAAAAAAGAGCTGAAAGTCAGGAATGAGTTGTACCTATGTGCTGGATGCAAAAATACCACCCATTTAAATTTATCTTATAACAGGGAGGATTTGTTAAGAATAAACAGGCCAGTTCAGTCTCTGTCCTAAACTTGCTGGGTTTGTGGGAATTTTACACCAGACGTGAAAGCTAAATTTACATGAGAGAGTAGTCCATCATTTGACAATACATGCATCTCTTGTCATTTGAGAAACAGGATCTGAAATGCCTGTTTTGGTTTTTTTTTTTTTACCTGCATAAGTAAAAGAGTTTAAAAGTCAGTTCTGGGAGTAAAAGAAAATTGCTCAACCTAGTTATAGGCATACAAATCAAATAAAGGATTCGGCTTAAGGGGTGTCTTGGGGGGGGGTGGGTGGGAATCAAGCTATGCTATTCCCTAAAAGACAGGACTGATAGCACCTCCGTAGGAACCTGATGTTGTGGAGAACGGGGGGAAATGGAAGGCAGCACCCCAGGGAACTGCTGAAGGAAGCAGGGATGAACCCCACTACCCCGCCGGTCTCCTGGCACGGCCCGTGGGCTGGAGCCTGCCTGGCGCACGGAGGGGAGCAGTGGCTCCTGTCCATCTGTCCCTCTGCAACACCAGCGCTCAGAACTGCTCAGCAGGTGAGGACACTGGCTGGAGACAAAAATAATGACACATGAGTAGGAATACGTGATTGATTACAGCACCTTGTGGGAGATGGGACCGATTCTGCTTGGGAAGGAGACAGAGGCAGCAGTGAGAACAGGAGGAGGCTGGAGCAGACGCTTTGTCTCCATTTAGATACCAGCACAGATAACCGCAGCTTGCTTTCTGGGTGAACCCCCATACAGCCTTTGCACGCCAGCTGTAATATCAGCCAAGGAGTCCTGTACCGTGGTTGAAACGAGGAAGAGTGCGGAAAGGGATGGGGAATAAATTCAAAAGAAGACAAGCCGAGATGCAACTTACTGTAAGTGTGTGTTTCAGTGTTAAACCTGCCCATCTGGCACTCCTGTATCCTTACACAGGAAGGCAGACTGGCCAAATAACTTGGGCACAGAACGGTACCAGCTGTCCCAGCTGACACTGGAATTACGGGGTCATACCCCAGTGATCACGCAGGTGCAGGCCAGTGCCCCACATGCGCGTATCGCAGGGAAACCAGGCGGCAGACCAGCTCTAACGTACCCCAACAGGAGGTACCTGTACCGATCAACATCCCATGCCCATTCTGAAAATGCAACCTTACTGTTTTCAGGCTTAAAAACAGAATAAATGCAGAAACTCAGGAACTGCTTGAGGCTCAACTGAAGTCTGACTTAGGAAAGCAAACCAAAATACCTAACCCATTGGCCAATCCAAGCCTGTTCTCGTGGGATCGATTTTTGGACAGCAATAGATGGGTTCTGGTTCAGTTTCAGAACACTTTGGCCTCTCTAGCAAAGAGAAAGTAAGATGACAGCATGGATATTTTTACCCTGTCACAATACAGAGTAAAGCAGTTTGTCCGAGTCAGCTTCAGTGGTGACTTCAGCTGACCTACCTTGGTGTACACTGAAAGAAGGTAGGAGGAACGATCATGTGGTAAAGTTAATGCCTCAGAGCCGTAATAGTGGGGACCTAGAAGATGGGCTATAGTGTAAGAGCTACAGGGTTAGTAGGTTCTCAGTGTCTCAAATTTTCAAGAAAATTGAAATATGCACATTAACACACTGGAAGGATGTTACAACTGTCTGAACTCTTCCATTAGAAGATATATTTGAAGCCTAACAAGTCCTTAAGGGTACAGTACATCTACCTACCTTTCACTGTATGCAGTAATTTTATTGCCTCACGTCTCTCCCTTGTCCCCCAAAGATCTACAGCAGACATGATTATGTGGCTGATGACAATCCAGCAATTTTACGGTCATGCAGAAATGTCTGATCGCTGGGAATGCAGGTGGGGGATCTTCAACATGGCAACATTCATCAGTCTTTAAAAATCTGTCTGGAACTGGTGGCCTCAGTGCCGGTATTACATTCTCTTGGAGCAAGTGTGTGGGCCGATGTTGCTCTACTGTCTGTTATCTTTGGATACGTTGTGTGCCAGCCAGTTCACTTTGGTTTTCCAGCTCTCCCGCAGGGCTTCATTAAACTTTAGTCTGAAGTGCTTCAGTGCCTCCTCATCTGTTTTCCCAAGAGCAAGGGAATCCTGAAGGAAAGAGGCAGAAATCCATGTAGCCTCACTGGCAATGCAACTGAACAAGTAACTGCTCAACTATCAAGATGTTTATTCACTAAGAAGTTACTGCATTGAAAGGAGCACTGAGTAGGAAACAAGTAGCCATTAATTGTTTTTAATGGTTACTGCAGTTGCACAAGGGTTTTTTTCATTCTGATAAATACTCTCATGTCGGGCATAGGTAGGATTTTAGTGCTCTTGTACAAAGCTACTGTCTTTCAGTTGGCCAGGACTATACTCAAAGAGGCAAGCTGGGAACAGGGAATGACACACAAAGAAAGAGCTCCATCATCTCCTTCCCTGCAGGCTGGTTCTACGAGGCACCTTACCACCTTTGCGCTGAAAAATCTGCAGTTATTTCCTGAGCACCAGTATTTGGCATTTCTGATGTCCTGCACACAAATATTGGACCTCTACTCATGATGTTTAGAGCTCGTTTGCTTCTAAGAATATGCCCTCCCACACTGAACAAGTCCTCCTCGCCGAGCTACAAGATCAGGTATTCAGTTTTAACCGTACCTGGCTCAGCTTCTCTTACCTTTAGATACTGAATGTCTTTAGAGCAGCTGAGTTCTGGCAGGCCAGCAGCTTTCATCAGTGCAAACAAGTGCAGGAAGAGAAGACCATGGCGCCTCAGAATCATGTAGGCTTTTTCACAATAACCCCTGAATCTGGTCAGAAAGGAAGATGAGGCAAAGGAATGAAGACCACAAGCTACGCCACTTTATAAAGCAAGACTACGTATTAGTCTGAACCCCGCTGTCTGCACTGATGACCACCAATCTCTTTCACCTTCTCTAACAGGTAGATAGTAATTTATTTAATTTTGTGTGTATAGACACCTATAGGCTACATATCATTGGTGTACCTAAATTCTGAAGATTCAAAGCTTAAAAAGCTTAAGTCAGGTTTAACTGCCAACACTTACCTTTCAAACTTCTCGTTGTTGTTAGTTTTTCCTTGCTGGATGACATGCACAAAGTCATAGGTTAAGATGAAAGGAACTCGTTCTCTATTAATACCAAATTTAGTCTTGAAATTCCCCAAAAAGTGACCAAAATCAATATGGAACAGCTGAAATCAAGGAAGAAAAAAAATTGTTTTCAGAACAGTACCTGTTTTAGCTGATCAGTCTTGTGTTCTCTTTACAGTTACTGTATTCAAAAGATACTGACCATAGGATTTTGGGGAGGGAGAAAAATGCCCTCTCCCATGGCACTCCTTTGGGAAAAGAGGCAATATTTACTTGCCAAGATATTCTCTAGCGTAATTAGATGTTGGATAGGACAGGAAAGGTACTTACCTCTTCAATACTTGGTATATCTAAAGAAATGTCTATTTTTTTGTAAAACAGCCTTAGCATGTCATTAGCAGAAGCACAGAAAGAATGAAAGCGGGCCCCTACCAGTGCAGTTTGCAGTCACAGACAGGGTGTGGAAAGATGTCCTGTTTCAAAGCTGTGACCAAATATTACTTGCTCAGCTAAGGCTTGTTTCACCTTTTTTTTTTTTTTTAAATACTAAGCACAGCGAATTTGTTGCACCACTACTGCGGTGATGGGAAGGAGCGTGCAGACCCTTGCACACTACAGCAGTTTTGCAGAGCTGCTGTAAACCCTAAATCCCCCAAAGCCAAGGCTGTATCTGCAGGGCATCAGCTCCCCCGAGTGGGCAAACCACCGCGTGGCCTCTGCTCCGCGGAATGGGCTTTGCCAGCTCCCTCCCTGCCCAGCGTTCTTCTAGTGGGGAGAGGAGTGAGCCCTAGGCGAGGGCTGCTCCCACGCACAGCCCTCACTGACTCCTTAGCAAATGCCACAGTGTCTCCGGCACTGCTGTGACCCCAAAACAAAGGCACTAACAGGTTTCTTTCTTTGACCGTGACTGCTTGATTTAAGGGGATCAGATGTAGAGGAGCGGGATGCTACACAGAAAGAGTGCAGGCAGGCAGTTGCGCGTACCTGAGAGAGATGAATCTCAAAACAGCAGCAGCCCATTTCTTACTTTCAAGTATTAACTAACTGGCTGACTTCACTGGACCTGCGGGAGGCTTACCTTGCACCATCTAGCACAGGTTGCTTTAGACTTTGTAGAATTCACAATTAAAGGTAGCTTAGACTTCCCCCTCTACCAAAATATTACTGTGTAGTTCAGTACATGCCCTGTTAACAGAGGGATTGTCTTTTCCCTAGTTTTACCCTTTGCCTTCCAAACAGTGTACAGAAAGATACAAACTCCAGCAGCTATTCTTGTAGAATAAAGGAATTGCTACAGGTATCACTGTGAAATTAAAACCATGCTGATCACTTGCATTCATTTCATAAAAAACAAAGCAACACAACATTTTTTCTAGGAGGAAGACTATAAATATATCAGCTTGGGGAAGTAACTGAGGATCTTACCAAGCAACTACAAGCAATTTGTGACTGCTGAAGCTGAGTAAGTCTTCAGACTAGTAAGTACTAGTGCTTGAGGTTGCATCTGCAGACAATTTTAAGTCTGAGAGGTATGAATTGCTCCACTGTAATTTCAAAGCGGTTATTAACAGAGGCAGCTGATGGCAGTGATGCTTACAGAATTGTAATTCAAATTATAAAACTGTATTTACCCTCTTAATGATAGAAGCTATTGAAAGTATTTGGCCAGTCTGCCTCTCAGCTGGAAGGTGAGGTACATTCCTTAGCAGTAGGATTGCCCTGGGACGTATCTGTCCATCGCTAAGTAGCATTCACGCCCCTCTTCCAGTACTTCAACAGCAGCAGTGAATCCCCATACCTGTCCAGTTTCCCGGATCATGATGTTATCGCTGTGCCGGTCACCTATCCCCAGCACATATGTTGCCACGCAGTACCCAGCACATTTTCCTCTATAGCTTGTTCTAAGGCGTCGCTGAAGAGGGTAAGAAAAAGATTGAAAGAGAATTTTACTTTGAACCGCAGTACTTCACCACTGGGAAAGTTGTTTTTATAGCTTCCCCCACGCAAACCTGCAGGAGAAGGTATGGGAATCACATGTTGGAGTTTCTGCAGTGCTCTCCAGAGGCAGCACTCCCATCCACGCTTTACAAAAACTATCTACAATAACCACTGTCTGTAATTGGAGGGGTCCAGATAGGTTGTGTCCACAACCTCAACAACAATGGTTTAGTCTCAACTAAATTAACTCATTTCTAGATCTCCACAGAACCAAAAGACGAAGTGGGCTCCTAGAACGACTCCTGTTGGTGCCCTGCTACATCACAGTAGCACTGACGTGTTGCTGCTGTCCATCTCCATATCTAGTAAAAGCCCAAGTGACGCAGCTTTTGTGCTGCTTTCTTTTTCTACCTCCCAGTTTTGGCATTACTCCTTCTGCCCCTTTCCAGCTGCCACCACACTGTCTATCTATCTACGGAGAAAGTAATGGGACCAATGGGAAGATGAAGGTTTGGATCCAGCCTGTAGACAGCGCTACCTTAAGCTATCAAAGATCAAAAAAAAGCTTGCAAACAGTAACCCAGATGCCTCCATTTCTACTCAAGACGCATGCAGATCCACGTGATGCCTTCCAGTGTGCCAGGCAGGGAAACAGCCACAGATGTTGTGGGACAGCTTGAAAATATGCATAACTGAAGGGAAAAGTTGTGCAAAGCAGAAGAAATGGCTCTCTGGATGGAAGGAAGCAGCAAAGCAGCACTGAGGAAAAGGTAAGCCCGCTTACCCTGGGTTCTTGGATTTTAGCCAGTTCAGCAGTGCATCCTTGTTGAAGGCTGCAGTGGCCACCATGTTGCTCTTGTTCAGCTGGATGTTGGCAATGGTGTCTGAATGCATGACTACTTCTATCAGTCCAGTCTTGTCTCCTGTGGAGAGGCAGCCATAAGGGGTCATCCTGCAGAGATGAAAGAAACCCTTCCACTGAAATCTTGCCCAGAATTGGCTTGTGTTGACTTTCCCTTGTCTGCCATATCTACTTTGTATCTACGCTGCATTTCTACTCCTTGGTACCACAAAACCTGACTAGCTGCTCATAGAATACCAGACAGACCTGTCAGGGACAAAATAAGCTTGCAGATAAAATGGCCTCACTACACATGATCTACCATTGCAGTAGGACAACTGTGTGCGCGTCACCCACCTCAGGTCCAGGCCCTCCTGCTTCCACAGGATGTCCATCAACTGGATCATCTGCAGCGTCAGCATGTCCTGACGAAGATCTGTACAGCATTACAAAGGAAAACGGGATCAGAAAGGCCTCCCCTTCTCCCCTCCTCTTGTGTTCTTGCAAGGCAGCTAAAGGGGCCTTTGCCATGCCTGTCACTTGCTAGGTCTAGCTAGTACAGAAAAACATCAGCACAGAGCAATGTTTACTAGTGCAGTAAATGTACAAAAGCCACCATACGAGACACCTTAACTCGGACACGATTATACTAAGGGAGGTACAAGCTACGTGACTTTACCAAAGCTCTTCCCATAGCAGCACTTCAGAAAACGTCTGTCTGGACACAACAGTGAGCAGCAGCCACTCCGACCCTACAAAGCTTAGACTGCTGTAGCTTTCAGACCTCACATCGGGTCTCTTTTTACTGTGCAAGGGTATCCAGCTACTGCTGTGCTAAAATCTTAATGAAGTGTAATATAGAAGCGAGTTTACTGTATCTCCAGATTACTGTAAAAAAAACCTCAAACGTTGATGGTCCTCACTTACACAACATCTTAATGGTCTATATTTAGGCCCACTCACCACAACAAATATTTGAGACTATTATGCCTGTGAAAACATATCCTTTAAAGGCTTACCATCTCCATTTTTGAAAATAATGCCCACTCCACCTCCACCTGTCTCTTCGTTATTAAACACGATCCATAAAGGTTTCATTTTGGAGTCCATAAAGGTGCACTGGTCCACACTAGAGGAATGACAAATATTACCATCAGAGTTTCCATCTATTAAAAAAGCAGCCATCTAAGCTGCAAATTCAACAGCATCTACAAATGCTAATGGACTGGTGACTTCCATGAGAAAAAAGTACCTTGGGGAAACCAGAAGCCTGGCTCTACCGAAAAAAGCCTGCGGCACAAATTAAGAGCTGCAGCTATCTTCCTTACCAAACTTCAGCGAGGATAATGTTGGGGTTCAGGGGGGACTGGAGGTGGGAAAGTGCTTCAAGGTAAGTTTCCTGCTTCATGCACACATGCATCATCTCCTTGGTTTGAGGCTTGGTGGCCTTCTGAGAACTCACTTTAACAAAGTCATTCAGAGCTTTCATCTTGTTGAGTGCTTCTCCCTGAAAATAGGGAAGGATGGAACAGGGTTAACCAATAGGGAATTCCTGGTTTAAAATAGTTTTAAAACTATTAAAATCTACTGTGAAATGTAAACCTTGATTGTATCTCTTACCTTCTCTTCAACTTGTAGCAATTTCACACATTGCAACAAAACAAATCTAGCAGTATCTGCTTGAGGGAGATCCATAATCAATTATGGATATTCTGCTGGGCACAAATGCATTGCAAGGTAATGACTGCACCAGGAATAATGCACATTACCATGCACCGAGGGAAGAAGTGAGGGGCACTGGTTAGAAAAGTGAGGAGGAGACCTATAGCCCCTGCCCTTCAATGCTTTTGGGGAGTTCTGGTTATGGAAGTGCCACTCAGTCTTGAAAACAGCAGCAGCACTGGTTTGTGGGCACATCTTAGATTTGACTTCACGTATACATGAGTCCCTCGCTTCTGAATTAGGTACAGTGATCCTTGACAGATACTAGGGAAGTTTTAGAGAGCAGGTAAATAGCAAGATTACCTCCACACAGCAACTGAGGGAGAGAGTACAGTGCTTCAAACCAGCCAGCCAGTTGTGATCAGCTCCTACTAAACGGTAACTCATTCAACTCCTCTACTAACAGCAGTGGGCTTTGAACATTTCAAACCATTCTGACACACAGCGTAGTCTGGGGTGTGTGCGGGTGAGTAAGAGATGAGCAAAGTCACATGTGCTGGGGAACTCCAGGCTCTTAATAGGATATGCCAAAACCAACAGAGCAGTTACAAGGCTTTTTTTTTGTCTTACTGATAACATATTAAGTTGGAAAAGCTAACAGCTGAGAACCAGCTTCATGCAAAGGGGAAGTCAGCCTTACGGCTAAAAGCAATTTTTACCTGTTTCATCAAAACTTTCATATGGTGGGTGCTGCCTCTGCAGTATGCTTCCAGGATCAGGCCAAACCTCAAGGCAACTGCAGGAACATGCATTTCTGACCTGGGGGAAGAAGGGAGGTTAAAGCCATTCTGACTCACTGCAGTGAGTAACTAATTCTAATTCTCCCATTCATGCCAGCACAAGGAAGCGGAGAGAGGAGGCCGCAGAATATTAGCTGCTGTTTAGATTCTTTCTGTATACTGGGGAGGGGAAAAAATGCACCCACCCCAGAAGCTGATGTAGGAAAAACCATTGCTTGAAGTGATGAGACATCTTTCTAGATGACTAAATTGCTAACCACTCCTTTAAGAACACTACTTAAGGAGTAAGGACAGCTCAGAGCCTACGGCTCAGAACTGGCAAGTGGCCACGGATGTCCAAAGTAAATATCAAAGTAAGTTTCCCAAAATAAAAAGCAGCAGCTCCTGCATTTTGGTAATCACAGCAATGCTTTGATGAAAATCAATCCCACCAATGCTTTGATGAAAGACCCTAGCTAAAGGACAGCAAATAGCCTTTAAATAAACACCCTGGCATCTACACATACAGACATGCTTGCTGTCTCACTTCACAGAGCAATGAGGAAAACCAGTAAATGCTGGTTTCACTTGATTACTGAGAAAGCACCTAAAATATTTGCTGTTCACCTCAGATGCCAGAAGAGGAAGTGGCCGATCTTGCGGTTGGATAATGCCCTGTCCAGCAGGAACTTGGTTAATTCACAGTCTAAGTAGGATTCATACTTAAGCACCTGGACAAGCTGTAGCAGGTATTGGAACAATTCATGATCTCTATGGGCAGAAAAGAAAAATAAAAAACAACATTATCTTTACCGCAACAAATGTACTTGCAAAAACTGTAAAGACAAGACTGTCAGCCTTGTTCACAGTCCCCCTCAGCAGCCCTAAACATAAATAGAAACAGGCTCTGCATATCCCTTGTGGATAACACTTACGTCAGCTTCTTTAATGAGTTGATAGCAAACGAACCAACGTAACGGTCAGGAAAGCTAAAATCCAGCAGCTCTAAGGCATTCAGGACAGGCAACTCTGGCCAGGTCTGAAGCAGGGAAATCATCTGTAAGTGAAAAAAAAAAAAGGAACAAGGTTTTTATGACAATAGATATAAACCTAAAATTCTACTGATGCAAGAGCAGCTCCTTTTTTTTTTTGGGGGGGGTGTCATTATTTATAGATGCCTCAGAGCAAGTTTGCACACACCAGGACAAAAAACATCAGTCCAAACTTTCTAGCAAGGCTGACAGGAGGAGCCATCCAAGACCACAGCAGGGTTACATTTGCTGTACCACAATTAATGGAATAAGCTCTTTGGAAAAAGCACTTTTCTGCAGCATTAGTAACGTAGACTAGAAAGGGACCTTTAGAAGGTCCTGTCAAAGCTCTTGAAGTAAGGAGGGATGAGCAGCACAGAGACCATCACTAACTGATGTCTGATGTTCTCAGTGGAAGAGATTCACTGACCCCCTGAGGTAGCTTGTGCTGGCCTCTCACTATCAGTTAAGAATATCCAATCCAGATCCTATTTCTGCTGTGAATTAAACAGATTTTTTTTTTTCTTGCCTCCAGTTTCTAGAGGGAATAAGCAAGACCTTGTTGGTCAGTAATGAGTCTGGGACAGCGCACAGAGCCAAACAGAGCCCAGAAGAGCCAAAAGCCAAACCTCAACTCAGCTGGGTACCACTTAGCCCACGTTCACAGTGACTGGCTGAAAATAGAAAATCTTCCTCAGCCTCAGTGATGCCAAACCTACCTGTGCAGGGGCACTGCAAAACATCCCCTGCTAAGCTGGCCTCCCAAACACAAAACAGGAACGGAGACACTGAAAGATGGATCAAAAAGGGAGCCCTGGCTGCCAACCCCAGCATCCTCACCTGGGCAACATCTTCATGCTTGTTCCATTTGGTGATGATCAGCAGCTTTGCCAAAGCTTGTGGGTACTGGTCACGGATATCACATCTCATCTTCCACACCAGGTCTTTCTCATGCTCATAGAGTTCAGTGTGGCTTCTCCGCTCCAGTATCTCCTTCAGTTGCAGCTTCTGCTCATGGGAATCACAGGAAAGAGCATACACAGGGCTCAGTCTCAACCCAGAGAACTTGCTCAGACCAGAGAGACCCTGTAGGACTGGGGCATGACAGAGTTTGGTGAAAAAAGCTGGTTGGGGGTAAAGTGGAAACATACAATTTGATCTGTGAAACCAAGCTTCCACATAGCTGAGAAACTGATGTCAGAAGACTCACCTCCTCAGGATCTTCTGGAGCAGCACGGGGTTGTTCTCCACTCCTCCCCAACTCCAGCAGCTGGGACACAAATAAAGAGTCTGAGAAAGGCTCCTCGTTTCCTCTGTACTTCTAGCTCACCGTCACTTCAGCCACTTATGCTGCATTAGAGATCAGTCACTTGCCACCTCCAGAGAAGGGAATCACACCTCTCTTAGCCCAAGTGTAGGTGACATACTCAGCAGGACCTCTCTGCTCAGAGGTGTAACCTAACTGCCCATACAGCCCCTTCCCTAGCAGTAACAGGAATGAAGGGATGAGTCCTTTCCCCAAAAAGGCCATATCTGCACACCCCTACAGTTCGGGAACAGGGGCTCTGGGCCACCAAGCTCCAGGCTAACATGAGCCGTTCCAGATTCTTCGAGCTGGTGTACGTTTGCCAAGCAGACAGCACTGCCCGAGCCACCCTGCAACGCTGGCACAACCCGTTAAAGCATCTGAGCCAGAACGTGCATCGTGGGGGAGCAGGCATATATGTCCCTGGCAGAGCAGATCTCCTTTCTTTCCTGTAATGGGCACATTTCTTCTTCCCCTTTAAGTGTCTGGCCAGTTGCAGTGACAGATGGAAAATCCCCATACCACACGGCATGTTATCGCTCTGTGCTGAAAGGGAGGGAGCTGTCTACTTTCACTCATTTCCCTTTTTATTCCTCTTCCTTCCTATAGAGCTTAATGCTGCCTGCAGTTTAAAGGTGGCTCAGTTAAACCCATTTTTTGAAGCAAATGCTCATCTATGAGAGCAGCTTTACCTCCGTAATCCAGAGTTTGGAAAAGTATTCATTCAAAGGCCCATCAGTTAAGAGAAAAAGTCAAATTTTCAATTAACAATATCTGTTCATCAAGTTGGCTTGTGTCTGGTCCCTGTTGACAGCTACCCCGACAGTGACACTGTATGCTTCTGCACCAGCAAAGCCAGGGGATTTCTGTGCCTCCCCAAAAAAGCGTCCGTGTCCCCCACCTGCTCAAATGACGGGTAATACACAGGATGTGACACAACGCTGGGGAAGCAGATGACCAAGGCTGCTGCACTTTCCGTGTTGGGGTTGCATTGTACTGTGCCCATGGGGTTCAGAAGTTCCCCTTTCTCATCTGGAAAGCAAAGTACATAAAGCCATGAACCCAAATCTTCTAAAGCTTTGGTCCCGAAAGCAGAGCACAGACTGCTTCCAGCCCTGTCGCTGGACATTGCCTGGCCCTGAGCAGCTCACTTCATTTTCCTGACCTCTCACAAGCAAAGTATACATGACATCTTTAGGAGAGCAGCAATCTCTTATGTCATATGTGCAATACCGAGCAAAACAAGGCCTTCATCTTGGCAGGGCTCTAGATGCCATCACAATAAAGAGCGGTAATCATATTGGGTCTGCTAGTCTGAACTATTACAGCCTCCCCTACAACGACCGGAGAGCAATGCAGAATGCAGGACAGCTCCTGCCTTCGTGGTGGAGACGAAAGGCACAAAACAATGCAGTAGCTCTCTCTCCTGACATTACCTGGAAAGGAAGACCACATGTGCAAGCAGCACTCCCCGGTTTTCAGCTGGTCCTTATAGTCGAAGAGCATGACATTCACCCAGGCAATTGGGCAGTCCTGCAAAGCAAAGAAAGAAGCTCATTTGGGTGCTGCAACTGCAACAGCTGGATGAAGGGAAGAGAAGAACTAACAAGAAAGTGAGATATCCCCATGCAAAGCAAAGCCCTCGCGAGAGCCAGGAATAAGAAGTTATATAAACTTGATCTTTTCCAAGCCTGCAAATTGCTACACAGAATGCTACAGGCAGGTAACTTCCCATTCAAGAGTATGCAGGCACCCCCTCACCAAAGAGCTGCTGTAAAGAATACAGCACCCCGGGAGCCATGCCTGTCTGCTTACCTTTTAAGTTCTCCTAAAATCAGAGTAGAAGATGGCATCAAATTCAGATATTTGCCAAAACCTGGGGACTTTTGTGTAGTGCTGAATGGCACCAAACGCTCCCCACAAATACATCTAAGACTTCACCACCCAATTATTTTGCATAGTTGAAGAACCTTTAAGTTTTCGGTAAGGCCTTGCGCCTCTACACTCGATGATATTTGAAGGAGCTATGACATACATACTTCATGTATTTCACACTTTGAGGGGAGGAAGAACCCCCTTAATTTTGAAACAGTGAACACAGGGTTAGCATGACTTCAGAAAACTAGGCAAAGAATGCTAGATATATCTGATAATGGGAAGCAAAGGCTTGGCTCCTTTGTACAATAATAAACACCATCTATAAAAATCAAACTTTACACTGCCAATCCCCCCACACACCCCCCAAAATAAAACCCACAAGTCCAACCCGGTCACACAAACCAGTCTCATTTCGGAGGTGGGAGACTCCAGCAGATAAAGTGACTGGGACATGGCCAAGAAAGAGAACCCCTCTCCCTGCTCGAACCCAGCTCCCCACCACCACAGCAGACAGACATATTCCACAAGTGACCTAAGATTTCCTGCAGTCAGGTTCCCCAAATGGAACCGTTTACTTCATGTAACGGTTTCAGCAACACCAGCATTTCACAAAACACCAAGGCTTAAGCATCCGCTGGCACAGAAACTGACTTGCAAGGAGGCTACGAGGTAAAATTCTAGTGAGATGCACCCACAAACAGTGTAATACTTGAAGGGAACCACAGCCAGACATCTTCTTGTTCCATCGAGACATTCTAGAGAACGTATCAGGCTTACCCCGAAGGTACACCAAAGGACTCTGGTGGAGGTAGCAAAATCAGCATTTTCCTCTAATGCGACAAAATGAATCACTTCTAAGTGGTCTCTCACAAAATTTTGAATTGATTTGATCAGACTAAGAATTTTCAAGTAAAATCCCATTTGAGACATCAGCTTCTAGATCACAGGGAAAAGCCAAACAAAACACCACTACCAGCAATAACCTTTTCGAACAGAGTGAATGACATCAAACCACAGCGCAGAGCCTGCCAAAACGCAAGGCAAGATTTCTGGTGGATAAGGTTCAGCAAAGCAACGATTCAGCATTATAAGGACAGAAGTATCTCCTGCATGACTCACAAAAACACTGAAAGCCAACCCTCTGGGTGACATTAACCCTCTGACTCATCCTAGTCAGTCTGCAAGCATGCCTGGTTTTGGGGTAGTAAATGATTTAGTCCCACCTATCTGCTCTGGACAGTCTGCATACACAATCAACGTGCATATAATTAACCTCCGAGTACTGTAAGCAAAGCAAACAAAAAGATTATTAATCAGAAACACAAATCAGGCTGCACTCCAACTGTAACCTCCTCTTGCCAATCATCTTAAATGAGAACTGGGCAACTCACACAGAGCTGCAGCTGACCATATGGAAAAACCCATTTGTGCAGAGCTCAGATCCAGCAAATACTGTGATTTTATATTAAGAGCTCACCAGAATGCATCCACCTTTCCCCAGTACCAGAAAACACATGAACAAGATCCTCTTAACAACTCAGCTAACCAGGTTGGTTTTGTTTTGTCAATCAGAATAGCAAGATTTCCTTCTGACTGCTTCGAAACTGAAAACTATTCCAGTGTGACCACAAAAATGCAGCCTGTGGATGAATCAGATATTCTGTTCAACAAAAGCCTCCAGCAGGAGTTGGCATTCTGCTATTCCTAAGTAAAAAAAAAAAAACACAATAAAAAGCTTGGTCCTGGTCCTGGCCTCAAAATGTTTCCAGTCTGAAGTCTCCAACCCAGAACTTGGTCAACACAAGCAGGTTGCCTGTTGCTCCCCAGACATTAATGCACTGTAACCCGGAGAACCCTCTTGATGCCAACACAACAAAGCTCGGTGGAGCTCCCAGCAGTGGAAAGGAGCTAGCAGAACTAAGACTAAAATCGTCTGCGATCCCATTTATCAGTCTCTCATTTCTCTGCCCTCTAGTAAAGATGGCATGATTAATCCTCTCTTTTAAAGCACGGTAACAGTGTTTTTGTGGCTGCAGAAACAGTAATTTGCAGAGGAATACATGCATTTGTTGCTCATAAAGAAAACTCTTCATATGCAAAGAGCGAGAGGCATCATGCTTAAGTGACAACACTGGGAAATCAGCAATTCCGTTACAGGCTGCACACAGGTCTAGTTTTAGTTACTGAATTATTAATGGGCTAGAAGTTTTAGAACAGCAGCAAGGAAAGCAAGAAATACCACTGCATCTGATTCAGAAGCTCAAAACAAGAGCTTCCAAAGTGATTTAACACCACCTGTCCTCAGTCTCCAGCATTTGAACAGCAACCTTGAAGATTCCGCACTTTCATTTTACCTCACCTAAAGCTGTGCTGGAACTAGTGTTTACATTCCTCATTTTCTTCCCCCTTCTTAGCTGTTAATTTGCTCCGTGGGGAATTTGCATGAAAGACCTTACTAGAAAGAAGATGCAACACAGAAGATGATTTAACCTCAAGTACAAAACAAGGAAGTTGCAGAACAGAGACACTAACACAAATGATTCCTCTTTAATGTGCATTCAGATGCTGGGTACGTTTCTTAATGGTCTTTCTGGACAAGAAATTACATTTAAACGACCTTTTCTACAGGCAGCCGCTCCTCAGTTTCCTGTTCCTGTTGAAGTTGTTACTGGCCATCATTCTGTAAGTTCTTTAATTAATAAAGTCTTCTTCTGAAAGCAAAGGGCATTTGGTTCATAATGGTGTCCTGCTCCCTCCAGCACGGACAAGCCTGGCTCAGTCCCACACTGGCTTTACTTACAGCTTTCTTGGACTTCTTCTTGGTGGAACGTGCCTTCTTTGCCTTCTCGATGACAGCATAGAGGGCAAAGCAGAGCCGCGCCATACGGGGAAGATCACAGATGTTAATATCGAAATCCAGCCTCTGCTTCCACACCGGCTCTGAGCATACGTTCACTTCAGAGCTTGACACTGTCTTGCACAGCATCTCATTGCCGTGAAAGAGCCCTGCTTGCACCACCAGCTGAGGGAAGGAGAAATAAGAGAATACCATGAATCCACAGGGACTTGTCTGCTGAAGACACGTGATAAGAAGAGGAATGGGACAGGGCATCCACTCCCCTGAACAGGATGCCCTACTCCTGTCTCTTTCCCAGTTATTGAGACATTAATTTCCTTAATCTTCCTCTTTACTCAACTTCAGTAAGGGTATTGCTATCTTTTTACTTCATGCGGACTTGCAAGAGCTGCTTAATGACGGCAAAATGCTTGGGTAACCCATTGGTAAGAGTATTACAGGTTTCGTCCCGTTAGCCAGGCAATGTAAATATTCACCAAACCTTGCCCACTGAGATGCTGCAAAATCTCAGGAAGCTGTCATGCTGAAAAAGCAGGGCAGACCCCAAGATCTGGGCAAGTGCTTATGCCAAAGAGGAGGCAAACCAACATCACAGGAGAAGGGCAGGTGCAAACAGCTGAGCTCCAAAACAGACCTGCAGGGCAGTGCCAATGGTGAGCTGTCTCCTGATGGGCATTTGCCTGCAAATCTGCATTCCTCCTGCAGTCTGCCAGATCGTCGTACAGCCGATAGGCCAAGTTCATCCCCAGCTTTACCTCCTCTTACAGGATTGCTGGCTAGCCTGAATCACAGGAGTCCTTCCCAGGAGGAGCTCCCTGCAAATGACGGGGCACTGGGCAGAACAAATAACTATTTCATTGCCCATTTCTTTATAAAGCCTTGCCCTGCAGAACACCTGTATACGTGATATAGTCTCGCCCCGTTTCCTTCCTTTCCCAAAGGGCAGCCATTCCCCTTCTCATTTGCCTGCTCCCTCTTCATGGCAAACACTTTGCAAATCCCAGGCCTTTGCTACATCATGCTTTCTGTCTTAACTTTACCAGTCACCACCTCTCCCATCACCCTCCCTTCTCAGAGCTGAATTTCCCCTCCTCTGCTTTTTGCAGACTTCCTTGCCCCTCCGCCCTGCTCTCAAGCAATGTTACCACAGGGCAGCAGCTCTGTTTGCTACTCAGAAATTTCTGCAGGGGAGTGTTTCTAAGAATGCATTGCTGAGCCGCTGGCGAGCACGTTCCCTTCCCCTTCCCGCTATGCTGCAGTTTAGAAACTGCTCAAATGCTGAAGGAAGCATAATGGAGGGATCATGTGAGATCAAGCTGTCAGCCCCGGCCTTCCTCACCACACAAACAAGACAGATGCAACTGGCAAAGTCAAAACACAAAATCAAAACCCCAAAGTGAGTCAGTACCTACCTTCATTCTCTCATCTGCGTTGACCTTGCTGCCTTGCACCAGCTCAATGTAGAAAGGCTGCTCTAATGACCAGAGAGAACCATAGTTTGGCTAGAAAAAAGGGTTTAGAAACAAATCAGAAACATATGCAACAAAGACTTCTCAAGCCAGCACCAGACCTCATCTCTCATCAAATGCTTTTTGCTACAACAGAGAAGAGCATCGCATCGCAGGTGGGCAGCACAAAGTCTGTGACAACCAGGGAAGTCGTGGAGGGAGCTGGAAGGCTAACTGGAAATTCCCAGCTCTTAGACCCTAGCTAGGAACCTGTCCTAGCAGGGAGAACCAGCTGCTGCTCCCAGACAAGATCAGCATCTCCATCAACGGAGGAGTTGAGGGTGACCCTGCTGGGTCTCTGTCCCCTTTTACCTTTTTCTTAGGGAGCGGGGGAGGCTTGGCAGTCATCTTTGGGGGGCTGGCAATGCAGTTGGTTTGCTCATCTCTCATGGCAATGATAGTGGAGGAGTGTACCATGGTCAGGTGGGGCGTTCGGCCTCGGTGCAGGCAGCTGCGAATATACTGCAAAGGGAGGATGGAGTCAGCACGGATGAAACTGAGCCAGGCAGGCAAGAGCAGTCAAGCAAATTAGAACTGGCTGAAGCTGAAACAGGTGGAAGGAGTAAGGAAAGGACACAGCAACACTCAAAACTCAGTTTAAATTTATCTCCTCTCGCTTTATAAACCTGCAACTCACTGGACTCATGTTGCCAGAACAGAGAATATGAAGTGCCTTTTATAGCTGGCATTTCATCAACTGACTCAAATAGCTGCATTAAGGGAAAACACTGAGAAGGATTCAGCACTCCCAACAGCAGCTTGCCCTGCCAGGGAACACAGGATACAGGATTACTTTCCCTGCTTTCAGGAAGAGAACGCCCAGCCCCGCATGCAAGCAAACAGATGTTTCCAGAACCATAGTCTATAAATGCATTTACACTGCACTTGGTACCCATGGACAGGCTTAGATCACTAGCTCCCAAAAACCTAAGGATCTGTTAGGTTGCTAGAAGCATCCCTTTGCCCTAAGTAGCATCCAGGTTGTGCCACTGATGTGTTGCATTCCTGTAAACAGCACTGCCTCCATGATGGAGGACAACATGTCTCAGTCCACCCTCCCAGCATGAGGAGGCCGTATGGGAACAGATGCATGCATAAAGCAAGACACAAAGCTCACCTGGAACTGGTACAGAGGGTAGTTCCCATAGAGGTATTCATATTTCCCATTCACCTGCAGGGTGTAGTCCTCTGGGTTCTCCACTGTCTCATGGCGGAAGACAGTAGCCTGCTTCTTGATAGCATAGCTCATTAATGTGATGGGGAACTCCTTTGGGGAGATCTGGAAAGTGAAGCTCTCCTGCAATCCCAACAACACAGCATACACCGTCAAATACCAGCAAAGGGCTGTAATCAGCACAAGGAGCAGCGGTAGCTCAGTGGATAGGTAACAACGTTCCTGTTGCTGACAATAAAGAGACAGCTAGGAAGGTAGAATTTCACACACACACGCATGTTAGCAAACGAGTAGGGATGTCTGCCAAAGTGGGCAGGAGCATGTTTCAGCAGCGCAAGTGCAAGGCTGGAAATCAGGAACTTCAAGTCCACTTTAAGCAGAATCACCAGTTCATGTGGTTGCTAGTCATTAAAAGTCTTCCCACTGTCATTTCAGCAGCAAGGCAGAGGGTGGCTAGGGTCACCATGCTCAAACCCACTGCTCTGGAAGACCCTCCTCCCATGGGGGTGGCTCCTGCTTCATGCCCAGGCACAACATGCAAAAATAACATTAACCAAGGGTAGCAGGCAAGAACAAGGGGCCCATGGGCAACACGGACCGATGCCTGCAAGCAGCGTATGCTGAGCGAGTCGAGCAGACTCTTGGGCTTCAAAAGGCAAGGCACGTGTTGGATTCTGTGCTCTGCTCCTACCCAAACCAAAACCCCACATATGTACATGCAGCAACCTCAGCTACCAGCTAACCAGTACACCCAACGCATGTTGAGGAAGGGGAACAGCTCCCTCGGTTGGAGGCTCAGAGTCTCCCTCCCAACCATCTCCACAGGCAAAGGAATCTGGAGAATGAAGATGAACACTGAACACACGGAAACTGTCCACACACACATTATTCTGTCTCCAAATGCCCAAAGGTTCCCAAAGGGAAAGCACAAACCAATTAAAAATTGTCACAGAAAAGTTTGTGCTTTACCCCGCCAGACTGAAACTTGATGTTGACAAAAATGTTCTTGGTGGGGGTATGTAGAGGGCCAGCCCCGAGGCCTTTGGCCATGGGCTCCAGTTGCAAGGGAAAGTTGTACTCCATCCAAGCTGCCCAGCTGAGCTGCTGTCGTTTTGCTGCTCTTTCCTCACAGAACTGGCACATTTTGGTGCGGAAATCATTCACCTCTGGATCCTGCACAGAGTCGAACTCATGCAAACCTAAATGGAGAGTATGAGAGAAAAGAAAAATAAGCATCTGCACCCAACAGGGGGAAACGAGCCTTTGATAATCAAGTGTCTGTGAAACAGTCTTCCTAAATACATGTTTAATGTTTGGTCAAAAGACGAAGAGTCAGCCAAGCTACTAGCAATCACTCACTTACTACATACAATTGCCCCAACTCAATTACTACAGCCCTCTGCCAGCAGGAAAGATCACCCTTCTTGGGTCTGCACCCACACTGTTCCCTTACCAGATCCACCAGAGACCAAACTTGCTCCTTTCATCACCTGCATCAGTAGGGCTCCATCACTACTCCATACATAGCAAGGCTGTCCGGGACAGAGGCTGTTTCACCTACAGCCAACACCCCTCCCACACTCCTAGAGAGACCAGTGATGGGGGAACTGACCTTTTCCAATGAGCAGGCTGATCTGAGAGTTAATAACCTTCTTGACTCTGTCTCCTTCTCGAGCCACGAGCCGCAGTACCGGTAGGAAGGGCTGGATGTCACAAAGCCGCCGTTGCTCATCCTCCAACTCTTGCTGTTCTGCTGTCTGGTTGATGCACGTGAAGACGTAGGCCTCGGGATCACTGAGCATATGGTACAGCGGTTCGTACTGAGCATGCTTCCACACCACCTGGGCCAGACCAACACCGGGCTGAAACTACCACCGGAACCTCATCTTCCTCTTATCGTCACCCCACAACCTCAGTCGCCCCAGAAACACCATTTACTGAAGGCAATCCACAGCCAAATCTTTCCTGGACCTGCAACCACAGCCTGCTTTTCAGTCAAGTCTGGTGGCTCCAACTCGTGCTGAACTGCTGGGTAGATTTATTTCCAAGTGCCTTTAACTGACTTCCTTTTTTTGTGCTTGCCATTTGTTTCAGGCAAAGTAAATCCCTCAACTTAAGTATTTAAATAACTTGAATACCTCACAGTAAGCACCTGCTGACTGCTAGCCTCCTGAAAGAGAGGTATTGCTTCCACTGGAAGCAAAATTGGGTTAAGTAACATGCCCTCAGTAACATGAAATCTGTGACAAGAACCAGGAACTTTTCTCAAGTCTTCTCAATGCTACCCAGTTCCCAAAGATCCTTCACTCCCAGCGGATGGCACTTCCACATAACCATTCTATATTCCATTTCTTCACTCTCATCCCAAGTGCCTGCTATAGGAGACAAAACTCTGGAGTAGATGGGCCTCTGGTCTGACCCAACGTGCCTACTAGCTGTAAAACACAGACCTGTAACTTCAGGTCTACTTACAGGTGTTTTTTGTCTTGGGTTTGGGTTTTTTTACTTGAAAATTGCAGTATGACAAAACTTGGAATAATCTGGCACCTGTGCTTCTGTCCCTTGTGATCTGCGACTCACCTAGGCCAAGCTGCTGCTGCAGAGAAACCCCTTTGCGCTGTTTTCCTCCGCTCTCCCCTAACCCTGCTCCCTGCCTGGGGAAACAAGGAAGCAGCTACATTTCATTTACACGTGGTTTCACTACAGCATTTTATTCCTCTAAGAAAGCACTAAGAAAAATGCTCTCATCATTACTGTTCTCAATTTTCAGTATTCAATTTCTGTGAGGCGAGAGAAGGCTGGGCTGGCAACCTGAATACTTTGAGTCAACCCAACATTTGTATTTGACTATTTGGGAGTGACTTCTCTTACTTGCATAGGCATACACAAGAGCTTTCCTAATGAAAAATCCAGCGTGGGGACTGGTTGGCTCATATGTGCAGGAACTGAAGACACAATCCACAAGCCCTGTGTGGCCAATTCACATCTGCCCTCACTCCACAGCTACTCTAATTCTCATCCCAAGGCTGAACGAGTATCCAGAGAACTGAGCCCGACATCACTGGCCCCACCATCCGCACCCCGTTGCTGGCAGCCGCAGCAGCCCGACATGGGTTTAGTGACTTGCAGAGGCTGGCACAAAGGAGGGGCTTTCACAGTGAGTCACAAGAAACAGCCTCAGAGCAATGCAGAAGAAACCCAACTTGCACCGAATTAAGACCCAACACGTTTCCCCAGGTGCTCCCCAAGAACAGGCTCCTCGTTCCAGGAGACTGCAGACAAGGCTGTGGAACAAAGGTGTTACCTGCTTGATGGTGCCCAAGCTGGCATTGCAGGACACAGAGAGGTTTAAGTATATGCCTGTGGGCAGCAGAAAATCCACCTGGATGTTTTGGTTTTCCCCCTTGGACCAGAATTCCATAGGGCAGTAAATGCCTGGGGGCATCCTGCTCACTTCTTAGCTACCACCTGCAAGAAAGGGAAAAAAAAAGTCTGTTGTTGTTGACTACATAACATCTCCTCACATCTGTACTAGGCCCTGTAGAAAGTTAATATGCAAAAGAACCCAAAGAAAGGAAGGTTAGCGCATCCTCATAGCTCAGGAAAACATGCACCTTAGTCAAATTTCCAGTCCAGTGCCTTTCAGCCACAGAGGCACTCCTGCTACAGCATTTGCTTCTATCTCAATGCTTAATCTCTTCTAGACCGGGATTAACATCTACATCTGCATTTGACAAAGACATTAAAGAATCATTTTCACTGGAGGACGGAGCCACTTGCCCTGATAGCTCGCATACAACCAAGCAGCCAAGAGATACAGTAAGTCCCTACCCCAGCTTTGTTCGGCAATCCTCAGGCCACATGCTCCAAGCTCCACTTTGTTTTTCCAGAGCTCAGTTCCAGTCTGCAAGAGGGAGAAAGAGGTGTTGCTGGTTCTGAGTAGGCATGCATTTTTATACACACAAACAAATAATACTCCACTGTATATCCCCCCCTCTACAAGTACAGGAAAACCAAAACCTAAGGCCGAGGCAACCAAAATAGGTTTGTTAATTCCATCTGCATCCTTTCCCTTGGCAGGGCTCTACAATTTATTCTCCGTACATCCAAAGAAGAGAAAAAGAATCCGAACGCTATCAGGTACAAACCGTTGTTTTCAAACACAGGACAGGTGCACGCACAAACAGGTAAAACAAAAGGCAGTCGTGTTTTCTTTCTTAAAGACATGTAACACCAACATCAGAGAAACCCTCACACTCCACCCATTTGCCCACAAGCAAAATACTACCCCAATACAAAACTCCCATTCCCCCCCAGATGACAGGCAGCAGAGTGTGCAGTCCCCATGTGCAGGAACAGCTGGGAACTGTTAGCATCAGCTCCTAGCAAGGGACAGGTAAGCGGCTCTAATTCTCATCAACCACCTCAGCAGAGAAACAAGCTCACCTAAATTCCCCCTCACTTACCGGAGTTTTTCCAGCAGCTCAGCAGAGAAACATGCCAGCAGTGCAGCCTGGAGGGTGCTCACATAGCCACGGCTTGTGGCTGCGGTGGGAAGCAAGGCTTCAGCCTCCTGCTTTGCTGGTTCTAAATTCAGCCCTCCACGTGCCTCGAGCAATTCTAAGTGTCGCTTATCCTCAGCCCACGAAACCAGTACAAAATTTGCTCGTTCACAACTTAAAATATGGCTTTGCAGCTGTCAGACGGTGTACAAACTTAGAAAGAAACTGAGCAATATGCTGCAGAAGATTTGGGTCTCCCAAATCATGAAGTCCTGCTGGCAGCTTCTCGTGAGCCAGCCCTATGCTTCAGTACGACAAGAAGCCCAGCATCTTATCTGCCAGTGCCTGGGAGCACAACGCTTCCCCACCAGCAGTGGGGTAAGGATTCCCAGAAATACGAGCTATGTTTTATCTGCCCTGCTTCCTCAGCGCACATGCTGTATCACACAGAGACCGGATACAGAGACCGCAAAACCACCCATGTGCCTTAAGAGGGAGAGAAGTAAAAGGGGGAGGAGGCAAGGTTTACATGTTTGAATAAAGCAAAACAAGCTTGCCTCGTCTTCTTCTCATTAACAATAAAACCAGCAAATTTCTAAAATATCTACTACCTCAGCCTTTCCCAATGGTAGCAAAAGCAGCAAACTACCACGACACTACTGACCAGCAGAGATGGAAAAAACAACGGCTGAACTGCTTCCTTCTGCTGAGGATTTCTACCTGATGTCACATCCCATCAGATACGAAGTACCTATCTGAGCCATTAGTACTACAATGTCAAGTTCAAGTTGCTCACTGCCTTGTCTTTCCAAACTCACCGATTACCTCCCGATGTAGAGGGGGTTTTCCAACAGAACCTAGATTGGATGTGGCAAAGGAAGAATTACTCTGGACTTGCACTGTCTCTAATACTTCGTTCACCAAGCCTCTCCTCTCGCCATTGCTAAATTCAGAACACTCTGCTAGCTGGACCTTAGATCTGACCCAGAGTGACAGTTTTTACATGAAGCAAGCTCTACATAGATGAGCACTCCTGCACCACCCCACTTTCATCTTCCCTTCTGCCTTGGGAAATCAGAACAGAGTTCTCCAGGCTGTAACCTTGTTTGCACTATCATAACCTCATGACTAAAAGTCATTACAATTCCCTTTTCTCTGGGTCATTTTGCCATTTGTGAATAGCCAAATGCAGCATCGTTCCGTTTTGTCAGAGTTTATGTTGTTCGGGTTGTTTGAGATATACTCCTCATCTTTCACTGCAGCAGTCTTTAAAAAAAAAAAAAAAGGTTTCCACATTCCCGCTGCCAATTTTTAAAGCCCCCAGCATCATCTCAGACTTTCATCTTGGTGGATAGACAGATTATTTTAAAATCCACATACTGGGGTAGGGTTCTGACCTGTAGGTCTGAGGTTCAAGTTAATCAACCCACACTTGACAGAAATTAGTTTAGTTTACTGCACAACTTGCGTATCTCTCAAAGCTAGGGCAAGCAAGAGCAAGACAGAAATGCATGTTTTAGTGGGATGCAAACCCACAGAACCAGCCTCAAGCAGGTACACAGGCTATCAAAGACCCCTGATTATCAACACCGGGCTGCAGCCACCCACTTTCTACAATAAGACATCCCCAGTCCTCACTCTTCCTACTGCAATATACCCCAAAACATCTTCTTGCTACAATACTGCTGTATTCCCCCACCTACATCTTCCTATGATACCCAACCAGCCACATCTCCCACAACCCTCAAATACTCATTTCAAGTGCAGGGCCGGTACGGTGCTGCCGTCCGACCCCAAGGACACCAGATGGTTTAGCAGGACAGGACGCACATGGTGCCTGGCAGCCCAGGGGCTAAGAAGCAGAACAGACAACCAGAACGTATAAAGCTCTTGGTCTACAGCTGGCACATACAGACACTCCATCCAAGAGAGATATACCTCAAGACTGGTCGGCCAGCTGATTTGTTTGGGAGGGCAAACAAGTCATACCAACGTGTAGACCCAAGGTAAAGACCTGGCCCTCGTGAGGTTTGCACAAAATGTTATTCTGTTGTTTGCTCGAGATGGGCAGGGCCCCAGCTGCCTTCGAGAAAGATCTACTCTTCCTATCCCACAGGGAGAGAGTAATGGAAGCTCTTTTCCCAAAACAGGCAAGCCTACTTGATGGGAACCTCAGCTCTGGCTAAGGAAAGGTGAGGGGTGACCAGTCACAAGCCAATGGGGGAGCCCAGCGGTGGGATAAGCAGCCTGTGGAGTGGCCGATACACAGCGTGGGATGGAAATACCGGTCCGTGTGGGGCCATCAAAGCTGCTTCGTTCAGTCCGCAGATAGACACGCTCTCAAACTGCAGAGTACAGTATCATTTCGGACTTCTCGGAGCATGCAAGAGGAAGAGAAACGCGTGCTGTCACAAAACACAGGTCCCAAAGCATCAAACACATGCTCAACGATAGATTTCTGCGGGTCCAAACACAAAGCTATTCCCCACAATTCCCAGAGAATTCAAGTGTACTCCCCTTTTCATGTGTATTTCTGCTCTGTGGAATACTTTTGTAAGGGGAAAGTAAAAATCAGTGCAAGACAGACTTTCTCAGGAAAGCATTTTACACGTGGATCCATTCCACACTGACCCCTGCCTCTGGCTCAGACCAGCCCAACAAGCAACAAAAACTCCCGGGAGAGGGCAATCGCTCCATAACCCCTCAGTAATTTTGAGATGTGGAGTCATTTCCTAGGGGAGCAACCAAGAAAGATGTATCCATTGGTATTAATCACTTCCTTACCGAGAGTCATATGGGCAATGAACCCATCTTACAATTCCCAGACCTCTTCATCACTGGACAGAAAAAGAGGTGGAGGAAAATATGAAACAAAATTTCAGTTTTCAGATGAAAGCAGGACCTCAACTTCCTCTCCCCCTTTTGCTTTAATTCAGGAAAGCGACAGACTGCTTTGCCTTCCTTAAGGTTCCCCCTTGCATTAATTAGTGTGAAGGTAATAAATGTCATAAAGGTAATAAATCACCTTTACCAAAGAGGAGAGATGACCGAGGCAGAGCTGATACACCCACGGGCCTACGCCTAGCCTGCCAGGACAGAACATAAAACCCCGGTGTTACTGGATGCCATATAACAAATACAGGCACAACATCAGTGGTTGGAGGTAGCACGTGTTGAGTTCACACACCCTGCGGAACATATAGTTGCACATAAAGGCAAATTTATGCAAGGTGTAACAGACATATTTGAAATTACCCAGTCAGTATTTAACAAGCCAGCAGTCAAGATAAAACACACTAACACAAATCTCTTCTTAAGAAAGTTTATCAACCACAGCTCTGGTGTTTACAACATACAACTGCTATTGAGAGGAAAAAAAAAGAAAAAGAAAAAAAAAAAAGGCAGCAAGATCACCCATGGAGTAGCATTCCACAAACCTCTGCGAGGCTGCAGCGTTAGACAGACACGGAAGCTCTAACGCCCACAAACATTACAAAATTACTAAACCCCAGGACTACAAAAATACCTTTCAAGTTTATAAGAAACGAGTGGCGCAGAGCTCACAGGTGATGCGTGTCGCGTGGGAGACAGCCGGAAGCCACTTTCATTGCAGGCACCGACTTCGCTGGGGGAGGAGACCACAGGAATTCTTATGTACACACGTGCTTGACATGTCTTTACCACACAATCAATACACTTAGCTGATCTGAACCAACCCTAAGCTTTCATAGCTGCAGACACATTTCAGTGAGTCTTCTGAAAGTGCTTCCAGCTTCGGCTTGCTTTTTTGGTGGGGGTCACGGGGTAAAACAGGTCACACAAGCACAGAATCGATGGGGTTGGAAGAGACCTCTGGGATCACTGATTCCAACCTTTGCCCTGACACCCCCATGTCAACCAGACCATGGCACTCAGTGCCACCTCCAGGCTTTCCTTAAACCCCTCCAGGGATGGGGACTCCACCACCTC